TGCTTTTTGCTAAGATAGATCTGCTTCGATGAATGCTTCCGCTTTTATCCGTGATTTGAATTGAAAGCGTATCAGACAGCAGTGGTCTTGCTGGCTCTTCTTTAATCGAAAACATTTTGCATGGACATAATGCATTTTTGCTGTTCTAAGCAAAATTTCTCGCACCGCCTTCAACTTTGTCGTGTCAGGGACGTTGTGAACTATTGCGTTCAATTTAAGTGCAAGTCTCTTACTTACTTCAGTGGTGATAAAGTTTACCAGGTGATCTACCTTGGATAGTGTTTCGATGTCAAATTTATTAATGGATTCACTACGCGTGAAGATGCTCACTGGCAAGAGGTTGCTAATCTGGGCTCCAATTTCATCCAGCTGGGGTGACACCTCGAACGCCCTTAACATATTTTCTTGTGGTGCATTTTTCTGTTTGTCATCCTTCAGTCTGCGTATTTCTGCCCTTAGTTCCTCAGGCCTTCTATTTCTGGAGGGAGTGACAATGACACATTTGGTGTCTGAAGTCTAGTTAGTCTCATAAAAGGCGTGGAGCTTCCATTAAGCTTTACATCTGCTGCAACATTTAGTGTTGCGGCCTCGCTACATATTGTGCATGCAGAGTTGTTTCTATTACTATTAACGCTGGCTGTCTTATCGAGCGCAGTCCTTCTTCTCTTGAGCATAAGTGGAGTATAAGCTGACTCACTTGTGCTGTTGCGAGAGGAGTCTGCTTTTGGTGTCACCATCATTTGGGTTTTGTTGATGCACTGTTCCACAGACAGTTGTGTCCGTGCCTTTTACATGCATTAGCTATATCTAGCTGCATGTCTGATATGTGATTAGTCATTTGAGAATTCAGTAGCTTTATGATGACGTTAACGACAAACTTATGATACAGTTACGAAATCACGTTAAAATGTAACACAATTTCAAACGTGCCGCTTGTCCAAGTAGGGTAGGTATTGTGTATGTTGTAAGCGATGGCCAGTTGAAACGACAATAGTCTCTTCATCACCACCGTTGCGAAATAGTCTGTTAAGGTTTCTACTTTCTCCACATGGCCTTCAACTAAATTTTCATGCTTCCCAAGAAGATATGCTAATGGATGGAAATCCTCAACTATTTTCCGGATCTCTTCCATCATGGTCTTAGCGTTATCGATTTCTTCCCTGTGGTGGTTAATACTGCTACTTACGGCTGATATGATGTCCTGTGTTCTGACAAAAAGCGGAGGCATACCAGTTCATCGAGATCTGAGGTATACGGTATAACAATACTTCTGTCGCATAAAAGAATACCGGGATGACCAAGTCTTTGCTTTTTCTCACCACGGCAGTCAATTTTAGAACGTTTAGCCTTAGATCTTCTCATTTAAAAAGACGTTAAAATTAAAACTTAGTGTCAAAATGAAAAACGGCAAACGGCTATTCGCCCAAACTGACAAAATTGGGGAAATGCAACAAAATGTCGCCATTTTCCCCCCACGGTTTACCCCTTTTTACCCATTTCGTCCCCATGTTCTCCCCTTTATCCCCATTGTTTCCCCCCTTTTTCTCGATTTCGTCCCCTTGATTTCCCCCTTTTCCCAAATTATGACCCCACAATTTCCTACTTTATCCGCACGTTTTCCGTTGCTTGTCTACATTTTTCCACAACGATTTGATACTTTATCAACACGATTTTTATCGCTTGTCTCCATTTCCTCACCAAAATTTCATAGTTTGTACACTCTATTTCTATTGTTCGTCCCCATGCATTCCTATTCTACCCGATGTCCACATTTATTCACCCCGGTTTCACAATTCCTACGCTTAATTATCATACACCCTCCCCTATTTTTTTGTGAACGGTTTCACATCCTACGCATTCGCCTTTTGTACGCCGAATTTTTTCTTCCTTTCCTAATTATCGGTAACAATTACGAACATTGGAATGTTTAGTCCCCCGACGTGTTTACCCATTTACTCACATAAGTCTCTCAAGTGCTTACGGTATTACGCTCTTACATTCCCTGTAGAACGATGCTTTATACCCGAGCCAAAAGTACTCTCCCGTACGCATGTTTATCGAAGAAGACAATTGGTAGAAAGATTGTATACGTATATTTAAAAATAATAACCAAACATTTCGATTAGTTACCTCGTACTTTCATGGCAGCCGCGAGATTTATCACCAGCCGTCGCATGTGTCACCTGTGGGAATAAAAGACAAGCTGTTAGCTGCAATTTTCCCATGCATACAAATTAACCTAACTTTCACCTACATTTTAATGAATGATTGAAGGCATTAATAAACATCCGTGCTACCAGTTACTTACGTTATTTCTTCCCGTTGGTAACGCTTGCTGATTTTATCCCTCAAATCATGGAAATAGGATTTTGTAGTTAAATCCATGATATTTTCAAGCTCATTCTCGCTCAGAGTTGCTGAAATGAACCTACTTGCGACAGCGGCTGCAGGGATGCAATTATCAATTTCATACTAACCCCTCATTATCTGATATAATAATAACCTATTAAAGGCACCTTTCGTCAGTGTTCCACTGAAGGTGTGCTTTACTACTAACGACGGAGTGGTGATTGTTGAAATCATCACTCCGAGGGATGACCTCGGGTCCTTCTGCAGCCTTCTGGTGATTTTCGCCGTCTGCTAAATTGAATCGGTGTACATTGACTTACGAATTTATCACGAAACCGGTCATCTTTCAGCGAAGATTCCAGCACTTGGACATCTTCGTTGGTGTTCAGTGGGAATCGGAAGTTGAAGTCATCCGTTTGCAGAGATGTACCCTCTTCCGCTCCCTTATGAGCCTTCAATAATTGTAACATTTCCACTTGCCGTTTCTCCACACGGCAAATGCACTCTATGGGATAGGTTTAAAGGCGACGGGGGTACTTGTTAGCCTGGTGATAGCGGACAGTAGTGTTTTGATCCGTCTTCAAGCTATTGTGGGGGATTGATGTTCGCTGAAAAAACCACTTACGTGGTGCCAACATGCATTGGTGATGAAGTTGCAATTGGATAAGTTGCAGTAGAAGGCCTGAGATATTAATCATAGATTGAATGCTTACCCGGCAAAAAAAGATATTTCACTTGTAAGGAAATTTGTTATTGGATACGTTGGTGGGGCAGACTTAAGCTGTCCCCACGTTTTCCCCATTTTTGTCAGTTTGGAGGCAGTGTACCGAAACGTTGGTAACATAGTATGTGAGGAGAACAGCAGATCCTTAAGCCAAATACATGGGATGGACTGAAATATTACCACAAAAATGTAGTAATAAGTTGTCAGACACAACAAGAAATTCGCGAATTAATATAATCGAAAACCACATGAAAAGGAAGCGTATAGATCCAACTTTATGACATGGGAGTAGACTTTAGATTAACCTCGAATTGCTTGCAGACTGGATGAATAACAACAAACTGGCATTCAGTCTGGGTAAATTTCAAACCATGTTTCTCCTCAGCCTCGATTCACAAAAGGTATCCCACTTTGTCTGTGGTACTCATCTTTCCCACACCACAAGGAAGGAAGACCTGGGACTAATACTGATTGGTAAGCTATACACCTGCTATGACCATCGTAGTGATGCCTTCAGAGCCCACTCAGTACCGGAATTTATGCTCAGATGTCTAGGTGCCCACACACTAGAACTCTTCCCCAAGCTGCGCGGTATCTACATAGGACCTCGCTTGGAGGTCCAGAACAACATGGCACCACCATATTTGGAAAGAGACAGAAACCTCTTACAAAAAGTTCAGAGGCGAGCAACAAAGGGCGTTGTGGGAATATTGTTAAATCCCAAAATGGAAAGGCCGAAGGATCTAGGCCTTTACTATCTTAGTCACCGAAGGTTACGTGGTTACTTGATTACGGTTCACAATATACTAAGTAATCCAAGTCGCCCGAACGGTGGGCTTCTAATGAACTATCACTGTGGCAGAAACAAAACTTGGGAATTTGCCTGCCAGCAGCGTAAGTAGGTTGACAAGACCTACATACCTATGAGGCATTTCCTTACCGAGATTGCTAGCTGCACCCTTTGACTGCAAGGCATCACCCACAGAAGCTCTCACAGTATGGCGCTGTGTAAACGATCAAGGATGGGGTGGCACACGCTGTTGGGAAGGTAAACCAGGATGCCAGGCTGGAAGATGGGAGACAACCTCCAAGAATACTACATGTAAAGGAAAAATGATCTGAAAATCCCTCCCGATCACCCTTATTTGATTGTATTGACATTTATTTTAACATTTTTACCCTCGTTACGGATGGTGTACCTTTGACCCTCGCCGGTGTAATGTTATTTGCTTGTTTAACTGTCTTATTTGACTTTACACTCGGTATTTGCCTTTGTATGTTTGAGACTTATTATGAGTGTTTCACTTTCCTATTATGTGACGCTGGACTGTTGATAAGGTGATGTTGTTTTACTGCGCACGACATTTTGTTTTGGTTCAACTTACGGTTGTGCAGTGATTTGACTGTTTGCCTTTTGACTGTCTACTGGGAACGTTTGTTTGTTGATTTGATTCCTGTAGGCAGAGTTTTGATCCCTTTTGCCGGGAATATTCTTATTGACCGACAGGTATTTAACAGTTGTATTTTTTAACCAGTTTTTACCGTGTAGTACGTATTTGTACCCGAGAACGTTTTAGACTGTATAGTTACCCAACGGCACTGTTGAGGTATTTTTGTAATTTGACATAACTTATTGTTGCTTTGATAGTACCACAGATTTTGTTACGAATCTACTATTGAATTACTACAAACCGTGTTTTGATATTTCGATCCAACCTTTGACTGTGCGTCACTCGCGGAAGTTAGGAAGCTATACAGTAGAACGCAGGAACTAGTCAGATTCACGTCAGTTGGCACCGCCTAGCTATTTCCCGCGTTCAGGCCAAGATTATTGGATTCTGGCCGCTACGGTACTCAAAAACCCGTCACTGCTGTACCTGGCAATCGCAAGGTGTTCCTTGAGTCAATTGCGGACGGGGAAGGTGACATGTCCCTGGATCCGATCTCAGATACCAAGCAAGTCCCTCTTGATGTTATTTCATGCCGTGGCTCTGATAATGGTACAGTTATTGACTATAGTAAGACTAGTCCTTGTAGGACCTCTGCTCAGTTGAAGGTACGACAGTTGGATGAAAGGCAAGAGTTGGAACTTCGTGAATTCAAGGCTAAACAAAGACAGGAAAGGTTGCGTCTGCATAAAGAACTCAACTTAGATGTGAATGATGGTTTAGGTGATACCTTTTCCTTGGATGATGATATAAAGTGTCACAAATCAGTTTGTCCTGGCATTGACCCTAATAGCAGTTCTGATCGTGAAACGACTAGCCAGGCGAGCAGCGCAGAAAACAAAGGGGTTGCCGCTACGTTGCATTGTGTCAGTGTTGGCCATGAGTTACCGAAAGTAGAATTAAGCAGCTTTGACGGACATCCAGCCAAATATTGGAAGTTTATGAGGCAGTTTGAGCTCTACGTTGTCTCTAAGGTTGATGATGATGGACAGAGGCTGTTATACTTGTTACATTACTGTAAAGGTAAGGCCAGGGAGGCTATAGAGGAATGCATTATGTTACCACCATCTGCTGGTTATCGTAGGGCTCGGGATATACGCAGACGTTTGTTTGGAAGGACTCATGAAGTCAGCCGGGCCTTACTACAGGATCTGATGGAATGCTCGAACATAGAACAAAACGATGCTGAGGCAATGTCGAGGTTAGCTATAAAAATGGAAAACTGCGCTATAGCCCTAGAGCAAATGGATTATACTGCGGACCTTAACTCCTTGACAACTTTAGAAGGTATAGTAAAGAAATTGCCCCGTGTGTTACAGATGAAATGGGCGGAGACTGTCGAAAAGCTAACTGAAACCGAACGAGAACCTACCTTCGCAGAGTTAACGCAGTTTGTGTCAGCACGTGCGAGCATTTTGCTAAGTAGGTTTGGACAGCTGGCAACAAGCAGTCGACGACCAGATAGTAAAATAGCATGTTCCACGCAGCAGCTAGTACCCGTTGGGGGAGTCCTGAAACCTTCATGTATATTTTGTGGAGGGAACCATGTAGTCACAAAACGTACCACATTTCTGTCGTTACCGGTGGATGAGAGATGGTCGAAGGCTAAAGAAACAGGTTGTTGTTTTTCATGTCTTAAAAGGGGCCACAGGTCCGTAGAATGTAAAATTCACGGGGTGTGCAGTGTAGAAGGTTGTAAAGCATACCATCACCCTCTGTTACACAAGAAGACCCACCACGCCGTAGGCGAACAACCGGAGAAAGGTAGTTGTGGATGCACTGAGTCTCTCAGAGAAAGCGTGTGTTTGGGCTTACTCCCGGTACGTGTAAAGCACGGTAATAAAGAGGTTTACGGTTATGCTATCTTGGACAATGGTTCTGATACAACTTTGGTCACGAAAAATGTTTTGCAACTTCTAGGATTGTCGACTGACGGCACAAAGACTATCATCAAAACTGTTAGTGGAAGTAGATTGGCGGACTCAGTCAGCAAGCCTTTCGAAGTTTATTCACTAGACGGAAACGAATGCATACTTATAGATCGAGCAGTTGTGGCAAGAGATCTCCCAGTACGGAGACCTAAAGGATCGATGCGAGAAAGTATTAAAAGGTGGCCGCATCTGACTGACGTACCCTGGACAGAGGTGGAAGACGGGGAGGTATTGCTGCTCATCGGTTGCGATGTACCTCATCATCATCATCATTATCAACATAGGACCAGGCATTACTGCGTAACGGTCCGAGTTGCCACACCTCATATCAGCACATCAAGTAAAAAGGTAGTGAGGTGAAGGATGAAGATAAGTGAATGCAGTCAAAAGAAATATAAAGTACGAGAAGAAAGGAAAGAGGAGTGACAAAATAGTGAGATTCGGTATAGCGTTGTTAAGATGAGGATAATGTGTGTATACATCTGCGCCACTGACTTCGGTTCTGAGCCATATCACCTAGGGTCTCCAACCACTGGTTCCTCTTGTCCCGTGGACCCCAACCACCTAGTCTGCATCGTCCTACATGGCTTAAACCAACAGTCAGAGACTTCATACATTGGTGCCATGTTTTAGTCTGGCCACCTCGGGCCTTTTTCCAGCCTGAACCCACCTCAGCCAACATTGTGTGACGAGGCAATCGGTGACTAGGCATACGTAGTACGTGTCCCAACCATCTCAGTCGATGAAGGTTCACAACCTCGTCGACTGACTTACCTCTTCTCCCTAAAACTCTACACCTAACTTCTGCATTACTCACATGGTGACACCACGGAATACGTCCTATACTACGAAGGCAACGGTGGTCAAATACCTGTAACCTTCTCATGTCTTCCACTTTCAATGGCCATGTTTCACAGCCATACAGTAGAACAGAGCGGACTGCTGTGCAGTACACGCGACCCTTAATAGACAAACGAATATCACGGCGGCGCCATAGGTGGCGCAAATTGGCAAAAGCCAATCGAGCCTTTTGTATCCGTGCAGAAATCTCATCGGCAACTAACCCACCGGGTTGATCCTACTTCCCAGGTAAGTGAAGTGGTCAACACACTCAACCACTTCACTCTCTATTGTTAACCGCGGTACCGCTGAAGACCAGTCCTGGAGCAAAAATTTGCATTTGGGTGGTGAAAATCGCATCCCAAACATTCTCAAATTCCCACTCAAAGTGTTCAGAAGACTCTGCATCTTGTCAGCGTCTTCACCTAACAGGACTATGTCATCTGCATATTCTAGATCTAAGGAAAATTCACCTGTGATCCGGTCAACGTCTTTGTAATTAGGTGACGAGAGGGAAACCTCCATAAGAATATCTATGATAAAATTAAATAAGAATGGGGATAGTGGGCATCCTTGACGGACACCACTTGATGAGTATAGCTCCCTGGACAACTCACCATAGGCTCTAACATGCCCACAAGTGTTCGAGTAGAGAGCTTTCAATAAGGTGATGTACTTACTAGGCACGCCTTTCAGTGACAGACACTGCCATAAGACTTCTCGATCAACGGAGTCAAATGCCGCCTTCAGGTCGAGAAATACAGCTATTGTCGGGCGTCTGTAAGCATGCCTATGTTCCAGGACCTGGCGCAGTGTGAATATTTGGTCGATACATCCACGGCCAGGTCTAAAGCCTGCCTGGTTTTCTCGGGCTTGCTGTTCCCGAGCTCCACTCAGGCGTCGGAGAATTATAGAACTTAGGATCTTAGACACTATGTTTGTCAGGCTGATTCCTCTGTGGTTATCACAAGAGGACTTCTCGCCTTTCTTGAAGACTGGGATGATGAGTGACTTAGACCAGTCGGAGGGGATCGTATTTGATTCCCATATACTGGCTAACACTTCCGTTAGCCTGACTAAGAGAACTCTACCACCATTCTTGTATACCTCAGCAGGTAGTCCGTCTGGTCCTGCTGCCCTTCCCCGTTTCAGGCTACCTACCGCTTTCTCAACTTCTTCTAGTGTTGGGGGACCTGTCTCTATGTCCCATTCAGGGTCCGACTGGATAGCGGGCAGCGCAATGGTGGCTGGAGGCCAGTTAAACTGTTCCTCAAAGTGTTCTGCCCATCGTCCCAGTCGCCTTCCCTGCGAGTGAATCGCCGATCCGTCCTTCTCCGCTATAACCTCACTAACTGTTGTTGACCATTTCCCCCCAGTCTCCTTAATAAGTCTAAATAACTGTCTACTGTTACCGATCGCCGCTGCCTTTTCCATCTCTTTAGCCTTTGCTGCCCACCACTGTTCACGATCGTTGCGCAGACTTTTCGTCAGTTTATTTTTAAGTTGCGCTCGCTCTTCATTGTACTCAGAGCCTGCAGGGATGCATTCACGTGCATCCATTAGTTTGGAAGAAGCTGCTGATATCCACTGGCTCTTTTTAGCCATTATCTTGGAGTCGGCTACAGTCTCCAGTGCTGCTTTTACAGTAGACTGAAGATGGCACCAAGCTTCTTCTGGATGAGTGACAGTCTTTTGTTCCGATAACTGCCTAGCCAACTTCTCACTGAACACGGCTTTGGTGTTTTCGTTGTCCAGCAGAACTCGTAGTGGTTTTGTTGCCAAATTTTTTCTACGTCCATTGAGACGCAGGCATATACGTGCTCGGACCAACGCATGATCGCTGTCCAAACACGTACTCCAGAAGGAGCGGCAGTCTTCCACCGATCCTCTCCAGCGATGACTAATAGCAATGTGGTCTATCTGTGTCCATCGCTGAGTCGAGCTCGGTGGACGCCAGGTCAGACAGTGCCTTTCTTTATGTCTGAAATTTGTGCTGGCTAAAAATAGGCGGTTATCTGAGCATAGTTGTAATAGGCGATCACCGTTATCTGTACGTTCAGCTGGGATTCCGAAAGTGCCACCTAAGTGCCTTTCTGCCTCACTCAGTCTACCCACCTGTGCGTTGAGGTCACCTGCAACAACCACTACGTCCGAACGTTTGGCTTTCGAGAGGAGGTTAGACAGTTTATGGTAGAACTCGTCCTTCACTTCATCCGAACTACAGTCAGTGGGTGCGTAAGCAGAGATTACAAAGAGACAACGGCGAGTCTCACTATTCCTTTTAGTTCTCACTGTGCCGTTCAGCCTCATAGCGCAGAGGCGACTATCAACTGGGATCCAGTCTAGTAGTGAGTTTTCTGCCCTGGTGCTTAATGCTATACCTACACCTGCAAGACCACGAGAGCTAGCTATCGAATCTCCAGAAACTCGAAGGGTGAATTTTGCAGATTCACCAGATTGGTCAGGAGAGGTCAGGTGAATAACCACACTTGGGTCCTGTATGCGTGTCTCACAAACACAGCACACATCCATGCCTCGAGTTGCTAGAGTCTTTGCCAACGAAGCCTGTTGGCCAATTTGACGGAGGGTGCGGACATTGAAGGCTCCAATATGTAATTTGGAGCGTGGTTTAAGGAGACCAGGGACGCTGTTCTGTGGACTCAGATCGTTGTCGAAGGCTGCAGAGGTAGGAGAAATTGAAGATGATGCAGCATCATTAATTAAGAGACGTGAAGGAAGATTAGAAGGTAATGATGGAGGAGGAGGATAGCAGTCAGAAGAAACTTGGGTGCTGACAGAGTTGTGAGGGCGGTTGACACTTCCCGGCTGCCCACACCGTGGAAGGCTATTTCTTCTTAAGGTACCTGAAAGAGATTTGTGTGACCGCAGAGCCCATCGGACATCTGCTTGAGGCCTGTCACACCCAGCCTTTTGAGTATGATTATTTTGAATTTTTGTATTTTTGGGGCCGGATGGTCGAAAGGAAACGACAAGTGAACCAACACCGCCGGCCCGGCAGACCGTGGGGCGTGGTGGAGTGTGTTATTTTTGGGGCCGACCTTTTCTAACCCCCCCTTCCACTGAGAAGGCAGCATCAGCTTGGCACTGCTGGTCATCCAAGGGAAACACCTTACTGCTGTCACACCCCATCCAGCTAGCAGCAGTACGACTTCGCCCTCAGACCCCCATCATAGTGTAGCAATTTACACTATGACGGTAACTGCTTTTCGTCTAACCACTACCCAACAGACCTTTCTGGTATGGTAGGACCTCGAGGGAACAAGCGTTCCACCAGCATAGCTCGTTGGGTCATTGTGATATGCAAGCCCGACCACCACGTCAAGGTAGCAGCTATCGGTCGGGTGCGATGTACCTGAGGCTCACTGGGTTCTAGATCAGAAGTTAGGGGGCAGAAAGAGCCCATATGCTGTGAGATCATTGTTGGGCTGGGTCGTGTTCGGTCCGACAAGCTTTCGTGAGCACAGGGAGAGGGTTGTGAATTGTACGTCTCGGTCAGATCTATTAGTCGATCAATGGAAGAAAATTTACGATTATGAGTTCAGCGATTTGTACTCGGGAGATAAGTCGTTATCTGTCGATGACCTAGCCGCTGTAAACATAGTGCAGCGAGGTACTTATTGGGATAATGGACATTTCGTTGTCCCCTTACCCTGGAAAATGGAGTCCAAGAGAGTATACGGTGGATGCGAAGTAGCCAGGCGACGTTTGGAGAGTTTGAAACGCAGACTAATATCCTCGGAAAGCCTTCGTGAAAGCTACACTAGCGCCATGGAAGAGACCATCAGAAAGGGATATGCAGCAGTAGCTCCTGAGCCCCAGCTTGATCCTAGCTACCGCCCACGATGGTATTTGCCGCATCATGCCGTATTTAACCCCAAGAAACCGGGGAAGGTAAGAGTTGTGCTGGACTGCGCTGCCAAACTGTCCGGAACTTCTTTAAATGACTTCCTGTATCAGGGACCAGACACGACAGCGAACTTGGTTGGAATATTATTGCGTTTTCGCAAAGAACTGATTGCCCTGACGTCCGATGTGGAAGAAATGTTTATGCAGGTGAAAGTCCCAGAGTTTGACCGAGGTGCTCTGCGGTTCCTATGGTGGCCTCAGGGTGATTTCTCGAAGGAACCTATTGAATATCAAATGACGTCACACCCATTCGGTGCAGTGTCCTCACCGTTTTGTGCGTATTTTGCAATGGCCAAGACTGCCGAGACGTATGCCAACGATTATGATAGTTATGTGGTGGAAGCAGTGAAGCATAACTTTTATGTTGATGATTGCCTAGTGTCCTTTGCAAGCCCAGGTGAGGCAAAAACGTTCGTAAAACAGTCCACTGAGTTGTTGTTACGTGGTGGCTTTAAATTGAAGAAGTGGGTGACTAATTCAGAGGCAGTGAGAGTAGTTCTTCCTGGTCTGAGCCACACAGAGAACTCAGTCGACTTACGTGTTAGTCAAGGCTCAATCCACAGGGCCCTAGGTTTGGAATGGGACACCATGCA